AAGGAGAGATAAAAGGAGACAGTTTTCTTCAGTGTCTGTCTATACCTGGCAACACAGGCGTGCATCTCTTTGAGCCGGAGACCTTATCGAGTGTATGCCGACCCTCTGTACGGCCATTAGGGGCCTCTGCATTCTTTAAAGAGCAAATATGTGTATGAGAGCTCCACGTCCAATACTCGCAATCTCTTTGCTTAAGACAGAGCATTTGACAGGCAGCAGAAGACCTTGCTTTTGCTGTCTTAATGTTGTTGCCTCTATAATCTACCCCTGCAAGGACGCAAGAAGGAGGAGCTGTTGAGGGATCGAAGGGTGCAGGATAATCATTAGCGGAGGGAGGAGACACCCCAGACCCCACACAAGAACGAGGCCCTGAAGTAACATCTGGGTCTTCTCTACGATTTAAGATTGCTGGAGCGCTCTTTAGGTAGCATGCATGCGTTGAATACTTCCAGCTAAAGAAAGCGCACTGAGGGTTGCCTTCACAAAGACGCTGACAGTCTAGAGGGTTCATAATATATCGGCCTTCAATCGCTTCTATATCATAGCCATAGAGGTCTACCCCCACCTCTAGACAAGAAGAAGAAAAACCGCATTGACGGGGACCGGAGACGATCCCAGGAGACGATCTCCTTTCTAATATAGCCCCTAATGACTTTAAATAACAAGTACGAGTAAAGGTATTATAACTCCAGAAGCCACAGCCTTTATTTTGTAGGCACTCCTCCATGCATGCGCTAGGAGAAACAACACTCGGTACTTCTTGCATGTCGTACCCATAGTAGTCATAGCCGTATTCGAAGCATTCCATTGAGCGAGATGAGGAGACACCTGCATGTGCTGCAGCAGCAGCTACAGAAGGAGGCCCTATAAGGGCCCCCCCCCAGAGGGCCCCCAGGGCAAGCAACACACTTGAATGGCCCATAGTGTATAGACTTAGCTGCAGCAGCAGCAAAAGATATTACTTTAAACGATATATAAACTCAAAAAAAAAGCAGCAGCAAGCGAGCAGAGCCTGCCTAATACAGGGGAGAAGGGGGCCTCAAGGTCTCCTTCTCGTACTCAGAGGAGACAGACAAACAAATCAAACAATAAAAATAAATACAGCAAAACACAAATGTGCTGCTGGAGAGCAACAAGACCTAATAACCCCCACAACGGGCCCCAGGCTACTCACAGAGGGGAGGAGACAGCAGCAGGAGACAGCAGCAAAAGTTAGCGAGACGCCTGCCTGCCGCCTGTACTCTATGCTGCGCTCTTTGCTGCTGAGCGGAGATAGAGTAATATTTTACTATTATTTTTGTCTCTTCAACAACTCTATTAAACTCTATTATATAAAACCCTGTCGCCTCTCTCTGTACTGTCTGGGGGCGCATGCCCACTACCCCTTCAGGTGACCTTGTACAGCAGCAAATGATTAGCAGCAGCAGAACCTCAGAAAAGATATTTAAATTAGCATATATATATTTTTAATAATGCATTAAATATATATTTTACAATAACAACGCCAAAAATAACTCTCCGCAGAGATAGAGCACTGCTAAAGAGACAGAGTTCATTATACCTTGCTCTCTAGCTGCTGCTACAGCAGCAGCAGCAGCAGCAGCAGCAGCAGCAACAGCAACATAATCTGCTGCTGATGCTGCTGCTGCAGCACTGATGGTGTTTATAAGATGCTGGGGAAGCCAGTTTCTGATATTTAGCCAGCAAGCCTGGCTTGAGGGGGCCCCTGAACCCCCCCTAAAACATAAGGCCCTAGGGGGCCCCTGTCTCTTTTGTTGAAGGGTGACGCAATTCTATTAAAGAGCTGCAAAAAGAGACAGATATATAGAGCATAAGCTGCAGACAAGGAGAATAAACATGCAAACACTCAGATACTAAGAAAGGGAGCGAGAGAGCGCGAGCGAGCGAGCGGGAGAGAGCGAGAGAGAGAGAGAGACAGAGAGAGAGAGAGAGAGAGAGAGAGAGAGAGAGAGAGAGAGAGAGAGAGAGAGAGAGAGAGAGACAGACAGAAAGACAGAGACGGTCAGACGGAGAGAGACAGAGACAAAGAGAGACAGAGTGAAGAGAGAATAGGGAGAGGAGAGACACCCTCAAAAGACAGCTTTGCCTGGGTCCAAGCATCTCCTCCTCTACGCTTTGCTTCAAGAGGACGGCTTTAAAAGCCTGAGGCATCGCTCGGGTGTTTCCTTGTCGCTCCCTGAGGTGTCTCCTTTCCTGTTGGGTGTCTCCTGCTCCCCTGGTGTCTCCTTTTCGCTTATCTATAGCGCCTCTATTGACAGCAAAGGAGGGTCTCCTTCTGTCTCCTTAGGTGTCTCCCCAGGTGTCTCTGCCTCTCTCGCTCTCAAGCAAAAGGGTAGTTACTCCGTTCACTAGCGGTACTGCTATCTCTTGCAAGTGAAGTTGTTAGCTGAGGGCTTCCCAGCTGTATATGCAGCTCATCCTACCTCTATCTATAATCTCCTCAAACTACGCCCTAAAAATTCCGAGTGGGTTTCTTTAGGGGGCCCCTTGGGGCCCCCCTAATTAAGCCTGAGTGGGTTTG